GTAGTATTGCCCCCTTGTCTTTGGAGAAAACTACGAGATTGCCACTGTTTTCAGATTTGGAATGTTGAGATTTTGAATATTTTTGCATTTGGAATGTTGAGATTTCGTTTTGTAAAGGCGGTTTGTTTGTGCTACTAGGAATGAAAACAAAAAGAGAAAAGAAATTGATAAGCTCTATAATTACTTGTTTGGTTGTATCTGTGACGAATGAAGAAGAAAGCATATTTGGGCAGTTATGTTAGGTGATGAAACAACAAAACGACTAAATCAGAGAAAATACAAGTCAAGTGGTTAAAATATTATTTCTGCTGTATACTGTTAGTATGAACAAATGCATAAATTAGGCAATCTTTTAGCGTGTGAACTATATGAGATGATTCCTAAAAAATTTAATTTTACAAAGTGAATTATTCTTCGAAATTTGAATCTTGGATCTGATGTAATTACTTGGTCAACCATAATTAAAACTAAACCTTTAATGATTGTTCAGTCGTTTGGTTAGATTTAATAGTTTATATTAAATGCTAATTCATTGTATGTTAGTTTTGAATTTTTTTACTTTTGATTGAAAATGTTTTTGTTAGTATATTTTTTAGAAATAATGGATATAAATGGTAACAGAGGAATTTTGCAGAATTGCGGAATTTTGCAAAAAAATTTGTGATTTTTTGCAGAATAACTTTAAATTCAAATGATAACAGCTGAATCTTGCGAAATGTTGCAGAATTTTTGAAAAAAAATAAATTAGTTAAATTTATGAAAAATATTTTAATTAAATTGTATTTGTCTAAATTAAATATTCATGTTTATTAATATATTATTTTTTTAAAATATAACTTTTTATTCAATTATCTCTTAAATCTAACTTATTTCATTAATATTTTGTTTTTACGTTTGGTTAGCAAAATTTATAAGTATTTTTTGGGTACAACAGCAAAAATCTATTTTAAAAAAAACCGCTAATCAAAAAAAAAATCATAAATGTTAAAATTCTAAATTTTAAAAATAGTTTGGAACAATTGCAAAAATGTCACTTTAAATGTGTATATTTTCATCTAATTCCACACAATTCCACCATTCTTAGTCACCATTTAGGACCCTATTTTGTTATTTTGTACAATATGTTTTAATCAAAACATGAAATTTT